ACCCTGTCGCTATTTCTCTATCTCTCTGTATGTACACGTGTACATATATGTATTGTCGAAAACGAAATCACATTACACACAAGCAGGGCAAACTTTAATCAATGGATTCATCGGCAAAATGACGTCGAATGACGACGCTTCCGGAAATGCCGGCGCGTCAGCAGGTTTCGACCGTTCGCTCGCATTTCCATAGAAACCTGAGTTCGTTCAACACGCCGGAAGTGTCGCGCTTTATCCGGAAGTGTCGCGGCAAGGACGAAACGGCTCGGTCGAACCGTCGATGAAAACTTTCCATCCGCACTCATCCCCCACGATACTCGTCGAAAATTGAAAAACGCCATAGTCCCGCTGTCAACGGCGGTTCCGACGCGGAAACTATGACGAGAATCCGAACGATTTTTCGCCGTCATTTGTACAAGTTATCGCGCGGCCTTTGTCGGCCAAAGGTCGTTTCGCAAAATTATCAGGTGAACAGGAAATACGCCGCACCGCCGATAATATTTCGCGTTGACGATTCTGGCCGCGCGCGCGTGCTGAGATTATAAAACACAAAAAGGAGAGCGAGGACGCGGAAAGTGCGAGAGAGCGAGCGAGAGAGAGAGAGAAGGATTCGTGACACAAACGCAAACGGATTTATTGCGTATGTAGGACTATGATAGAGTGCACTTTAAATCCTGTCCTAAATCGAACGCGCGAATAACCCGCGCAAAAGTACGTGAAAGCTCGATCGCGACTGCAACGCGAAATACTTTTCGTGAATCGAGTAAAGCAGTCGACAAGATCCTGATAATGAGTGGTGCTATCAATATCCAATTACTTAGATACCTGAGCAATTTCCAAGATATCCGAATGTATCGAGTATTTCTCGGGATTATGGGAAATATCCGGTTATCCGGTTACTCGGGTATCCGGATTGCCAGGTTTTTCTAATATTCCCCGAGTAAAATAAAATCGTAATTTAATACACGATTGTATGGCTGAATTGTAAACTGGCTCTTTAAAGTTGTCGATTTTCAACCAACGACACAGGGAAAAAATTATCTTAAATCAATAGATAGATATTCTATAATTTTAATCGACATCGTATGTAAACGAGAATATTATAATATAATATTCTTAGAAGATTTTTATTTGATTGAGTGCGAATAATATTTACGTCAATACAAATTCAATCAAATCAAGACTAAAAATCTTCTAGAAAGATTACAATATTCTTTTATATATGAGAATATCTATCATTAATTTAAGACTAATTTTTTCCCGTGGACATATGTAACATACGATAAATATGTGCAATACACATGTCAGCAGTCAAATGGAAAACCGCACCGGAAGATAAGCGAAGAAGATACGTACACAAAGAATATACGTACGTTCTGAATGCATAGTATGATATTCGAATATTTCACGCAATTTTAGTTTAGTTTTTTAGTTCTTTTGTTTCTCTCGTAGAGCTATATATGTGCGCAAGAATCATAGTCATTAAGACGGGAGATACACGCCGGGTCGTCCACATATGTTTCATCACATGTGCTTCTCCGATGAACGTATTATGTTTTACAATACGAATAAACGATGTCTCGTGTTGTGACAAGACGATGACAGCAGGGGGAAAGAGTATGGGGGAGGGTGTGTGCCGAGAGCAGGTGAGCGTGCATTATTTCTGCGACATCTTGAAATGTCCGAGCCAGCCTCCCGCGAGCGGGAGAAGAAAGTGGATGCGAATATGTGCATATACGCGTACATACGTACATACATACATATATATATATATATATATATATATATATATATATGAGCAACGGCAAATTCTATTATTTAGTGTCAACTACCTGAATTCGTCGCACTTTATTACACGCGCACTATGACGCAAGTGTCACGATCAAAACTAGATAGCCAACGCGTACCGAAATGTTACCATTTTCGTACGTTACGCACACATACGCACACACACACACACATGGCATATATTTTTATGATATTTCCAAACTAAAATACGACCGCGACGCAAAAACATCACTTCACTTTTAAAATATTTAAACGTTCAATGTTGTATCTCTCTCGTGCACTTTTAATTCCTACTACTACATTAACATCGGCCGGGCCGAAGGAAAATTTAATATTTACCGTGTCATCCAACGTTCAACATTGATCGAAGAGCCGTTCAAATGCGTATGGATAATCAAATAAAGATTTATGAAGCGCCCTACCGTACAACTCATCGTCTGCGCGAAGGAAAATATTGGATGCACTGTCGCTAGTAGATGGATAACAGGCATTACGTATATTTATTACGCGATATCGACAGTGTGCGTTTCGAAAATGACAAAAGCGTCCACTCAGATTTCGCAACTTCGGGATTCTCTGACGTTTATTGGAAGATACAAAAATATGCGAGCATTAAATAAAACCATTAAAATTTTAATGAATTGGTTAAAACGATCCGTGCGTCGGGCTCTGTGCGCACTTCTGTGTCGGAAACGTGGCAAGTTTTCAAGCAATACGCGGCAATATTGATTTTAATCAACTTAATTAAATATCCGATAACATCATTATCATCCTGCACTGTGTTCCACAGTAATGTAATATTTCCCACTCAGCGTCTAAAAATTTCATCGCGAGATGATCATGACGATGACCACAAAGAACATTAACAAACCTATTTATTGAGAGCGCGCGATCATAAACTGAGAAAAAAATATCTGAAAATTTATTCGTGCGAGATGTAAAGTTTATTTTACGGAAATAAAGTTTATTTCTGTGAAATGAGGTTTATTTCACAGAAGCAAACTTCATATCCCACAAACGAATGTTTAAACACTCTCTTCTCAGACTGACAAGTAGACTTAAGGGTATCTTTTTTTTTCTAAACTAAGAAAAAAATACTTGACGACTTATTTGTGGGATATAAGGTTTATTTTGCAGAAATAAGTTTACTTCTGTAGAAGAAGAGATTTATTTTGCAAAAATAAACTTTTCATCCCACAAATAAATGTTTAGGCACTTTCCTCTCGATGTAGAAAAATTACATTGTTACATAGCAGAAGTTATGTCTCATGAATTATACACATCTTCCCGAAAATAAGCGAGTTCAATTTTGCCGACGATTAAATTTCACCGTTCTGCACGCGTATATTGCAAAGGAATGTGAATAGGATATCAGTATAAGCGTTCGAGGTGGTATGCCTTTAAAGAACGAACGACGGAGAGGGACGCAGTTGCGCAGGTAGGATCGATTTGTTTTGGAAAAATCTCAAATCAGCGCGAATGAGGGCTGCGAGCGGGCGCAGTGGCGGAGAGAAGTGGAAAAGAGAGGGCAGACAAGCGTGGCAGGAGGACTACGCCCAGGCCCTCTCTGCCCCTTGAAAGCACTCCGACGTTTTCGCACGACTCCGTAGGAGCTTTCGGGTGGCTTTTCCCGGAGAAAAGTTCGGGGAAGAGGCAATTTATCCTTCGCTTCGAGTAAGGACGCGGCCGTCGCGGGAGAAATAGCCTCGGCGTGTATTTAACTAGAGGGGCTGAGCTCGATCGATCGATCGTTCATTTTTTTTCACGCGAGTTGCTCCAAGCCACTCGTAAGTGAAACGCACGGGAGAAGGGAAGGGGACGGCCCCGTCTGGTGTTCTAATTGAAATCAGAGAAGCGTTAAAATTGATAATCAAAGCGACCGCGAGATTTTTCCGTGCGCCTGAAACTTGCCGAAGACACGATGACAAGTATGGACGTGCACAGCTGACAAAGTCCGTTTCGCACCGTCGAGCCGGTTGTTCGCCAACCATGAGAAATCACCGTGCGAAAACACTCCTCCGAACTATTGTCGCCGATAGAGCCCGGGAAAACAACTCGAGGCGGACCCTTCTGGGAGCATCCATTTTTTAAAAGCGCCTTTCGAGACCCATCTTCTTCGCCGGCTCTCGATTAAACCAATTTACGGGCGCAATCGTCGACGTCGTTTCGCAACGACGAATCGCTCTGATAATGACGTAACAACGTAAACAACCGAGCGGTTGTCATGGCTGATCGATACTCCGAGTGATTTCAGTTTTACGCGGGATGTTCCGAGTTTCATTTAAACGTTGGATAAAGTATATACTTTCCCTCCCCCTCCTCGTTGCGATACGCACACGCGCGCGATCTCGGTGTTACGTGCGAAATCGCAACTTTCGAAATGTCTATTGACACTTCGCTCGGTTCGGCTGATGATTCCAGCAGGCGGCGCGAAAATACGAACGTAAGGGAGAGTCGCGTCCGAAGTGGATACAGACAGCGTCGGGTCGGGCCGATCACGGTGACAGGCGAGAACGTACCGGGGCGCGATTTGCCGCGAGGAAGCGCCGGGAGATCCCGATTTCCAACTCGTCGCCGGTGGAGAAAGCGACAACGATTACGAGTTTACGTAGTAATAATAATAACGGGAGAGAGAGAGAGAGAGAGAGAGAGAAGAAGCTCGTACTCACGTTGCTATCCCGGCGGGTGGGCACATCGCCCGCGGGCGTCGATGAGGAGTAACGCTGAAGGACGAGCTACCGTACCCCGGGCGTCCTATGCACCGAACACGAGGACTTGGCGCGCCGTGCCGATTTACCCGCAGCAGTCCCCAAACCTCGCCGCGTGGTGGACGTGGCGCACCCGCACATATCCCCGACGTCGTCGTCGTAATCGCCGTCGTAATCGCCGTCGTCCGGCCCGTCGCCGTCGCGTCGCACGTCGTCGTCGTCGTCGTCGTCGGTCGCGACAACAAGCGTCGACGCGTCAGCCGGGTAACGGCCCTCGGTAGTCGGCCGGTGGTCGACCGCACTGCGGGTACGCGTAGGCGAACGACCGGCCGGCCGGCAAACCGTGACACGAGGGATCGGTAGACGGCGCACCAACACACCCGCAGCCGCCGCAGCAGCCAGCAGGAACGGAGACGCACCAGCAGAGACGAGGAGTGCAGGTAGCAGCCGCGAGCAGGAGAGATCCGGACGGCACAAGAGCACTGGTACTAACGATCGAGACCGTTGCCTCCGCTACCAGGGCTGCGACGGGCCGAGGAACGAGGAACTCGCGTGGCCAGCGACAACAACGGCGAGCGCAACTGCCATCTTCTGCAGCATCGTCGACAGCATCGTCGTCAGCAGCGGCATCTTCTTGCTCGGCGGTAATCTCGTCGCAATCATCGTCTTCTTCGTCGTCGTCGCGCTCATCGTCGTCCGGCTCGTCCTCGCGCCGCTCCTTCCGGCAACACCACTCGCAGCGCTCGACTCTCTTCTCACGCTCGTCGCCGTGACGCTCGACCTCCTCGCCGCTCCCTTCGTCATGCTCGTGGGACTAGGATTCCGTGACGCGGGCCAGCTCGCCATACCCCACGGGATCCAGCGGCCCCTGCCAGCCGCCAGGTCGACGACTGTGGATTACCAGCCGTGCCGCCCGGTGCTGCGCCGCCGATGATCGCTTCTAGTTCCAGCCGACAGTAGTGCGAGCCGACGAAAACCACCGCCGCCGCCGCCACCGCCGCCGCCGCCACTACCACTACTATCGCCAGCAGCGCGACGTGCGACGCGCGACCCGCGAACGTCGTCGTCGCACCGATGATATCGCGCGCGACCACGACTACTCCCTTCCGCCTCCACCCTCGTCGCTCGATTCTTCCTCGCCTTCTCGCCGCCCTCGACGGCGGATTCCGGTTATTTGCGAGCGACGATGCGGCACGCGCGGCAGCCCGCATAAGCGGCGGCCGCCTCTTCCACGAGGCCGACGACGATCATTCACCTAGAGAGCACCCACCACTACACTACCACCACCACCACTACCACCACCACCACCACCACCGTCACCACTGGCCACCGCCACCCTGAAGCCACGCTGACCTCCTACTGACTTTCGTCTCCTCGACACACCTTCCCTCCTCTCTCTCTCTCTATCTATCTATCTCGCCTTTTTCGCTCCTCCTTCACCTCTCTTATCTATCTATCCTTATCTATCTATCTATCCAGCCGTCCATCCAACGCGACGTCTATCTGTCTTCTCTTTCTCTTTCTCCCGCTCGTATCCTGAACATTCAGCCGACCAGACGAAACGCCACTAGTCCGACCGTACTGAGCAGCCCGATAAACGTCGGACGGCGCGCGACGACCCTCTCTCTCATGATCCCGGCCGTTGTTCCTGAGCTTTCGTTCGCCGGACGACGCGAGCCACCACTGAGCACAACACACACACACGCACGCACACACACACACACACGCACACAGCTCCTCTCTCTTTCTCTTCCTCCCTAGCACAGTTCAGCTTACGCCGCCTGCCGCGATTGTTGCTCGGTCCGACGACATACGGCGCTCGTTCGCTCGGCCGCTCCACTCGCGCTGTTTCCACTGATGCCGCGCGATCCGCTGCCGCCTACTGTGTGTCTCGCACGCACCCCTGGCGGATCGCACCCCAGCCGCCGTTTCCTCAGTCTGGCCCGATCCTCTTCTTCCGCCGCCTCCTCCTCTTCCTCCTCTCGCTTCTTCCGCCGTGCTTACGCGCGTACGTGCATGCGTGCTCACGCGATTACGCGAGTCCCCGCGTAGGCGTGCCTGTATACATGTGCGTGCGTGAGTACGTGCGTGCATGCGTCGCCGTGTTTCTGTATGTGTGTGTGTGTGTATGTGCGTCTGTGTGTGTGTGTGTGTGTGTATACGTCTATCTATATGCGTGTGTGTGTTTCAGGTGTGTGCGCGTGTGTGTGTCAGGTGTGTACGCGTTCTCTCTCTCTCTCTCTCTCGCCAGTCACTCAGTCAGTCACTTTCTCGGTGCGCGCGTTCTCTTGATCCTTGCACCGCTGCGGCTCCTGCACCAGGGAGTCGTGTCGGTGCAGCAGGCAGGCACTCCCAGGACGTGTCTCTCTCTCTGGCAATGTTCCGACCGAGCAACCCACCTTAGCACTGACGCTCTGCCCGTTTCGGGGGGTGTTATGGCGAGAGTCGCGACTCTCTCTCTCTCTCTCTCGCTCTCTCTTTCTAGCTCTCTTCCTTCTCGCTCCTCCACCCGTGCGCGTGCTCTCTCACCCTTCCTCTTTCTCTCTCTCTCTCTCTCTCCTTCGTACCCTCCACCACCCGCCGGACACCCTCCTGCTCCACCACCCGCGCGTCCCTCTCTCTCTCTCTCTCTCTCGCTCCCACCCGCCTCGTTCTCCGCTCCACGGTTAGAGTCTCTCTCCGGTTAGAGCCCCGCCGCACAAGCCACCCTGCGCCCCGGGAGCCAATACCAACCCATGTGGAAGCCCCGACGCGAGACGTCCGCGATGACTTGCGAAGTCGACCGAACCTAGCCGAGCCGCCACCCCTCTTTCCCACTCGTCCTGACACCCTCTACACCCTACGGGGAGTCAGCGGGAGCGCCCCCCTCCCCCGTCACGCAGGTGCCACCCCTGAAAGCTCGCCAAGCCCGCAAAACACGACGCGCGGCCATGTGGCAGCACCGACAGGACCGGCTACGGGAACGCTCGAGGAGCGTCGAGCCTGCACGATTCGCCCTCGATATAACGCGAGACCATGTGGAAACCTCGAGGCAGCGACGCGCCGACAGGGACGTACGCATGTTCGTCCCTCTCTTCTTCCCCCTCCCCCCCTCTCTCTCTCTCTCACCCCTCTTCCGCTCTTTCTCTGCCGTCGTCTCTCCTCGTTCTCTGTTTCTCTCTCCCATCCCTCGTCTTGCCGAATAAATGCAAGATCGTTGCTGATGCGGCTGCATATCCTCGCGATGCACGCTTGCGTGACGACGCCCGCGCGCGCGCGAGCGAGCGTTATCATCGCCCGCTTACGATCAGCCTGTTTTAGGCGTCGGCGGAAACTTGTTTGGCACGTTAACGAGCTTAGCTCGTAGCGTCGGGCGTTCCCAATTTTACGTGATTTCAATATGATACCCGGGCTTTAGCGGGGAGGGGGGAGGGACAGTTTGTCGGGAACGCGTTACTTCAGACATTGCCACCGGGGGAGGGGGGGTGAACTCCGCTCGAGATGTCCCGCTTAATCCCGCCGTTTGGGAAAATGAGACAGACGGACGGATGTTTCCGATTGTTCCTCGCGGAGGGGAAACGTCCGCTCGCGATTGTGGCGCGGGGACGATAGCGCGCGACGCGCTCAATCCCTAAGTTAATTTAAGTTTATTACATAGTTCAGCGCGCCAACATCGATGCTCGCGGGCCGAAGGTTGCTCCGCGAACTTCGAAGGTCGGGATCTCGTTAATCGAGGCTGGAATTTTACCGAGCCTCCGCGATGCGTATCGCGATACGCGACGATCGCATCCGACGCGGGATCGCGAATATCGCCGGCTCTCTTCATCACCGCGCGACCCGAAACGGCGATTCAATGCGCGCATGGAATCCCGTTCCCCGTGCGTTTCGCGATCCGTACAAAGACACCCGGGTTCCATTACTTGATTACCGGCTCTTCCCGGCATAGCGCTCGGGTTTCAAAGCGGGACGTGAAATAGTGGCGCTTCAATCTCGCGAATAACGAAGAATCCGCGAAGTGCGCGCACGCGAATAAAGCGCGAGTCGTTGCCAGCCGATAAGCTTCAACTTCGACGCGCCATTTGCAAAATAAAACCCCTCCGCGGGGACTCGCGGTCGACTCGCGCGTACCACACCGCTGTACATTAATCTCCCGATTCCTCTCGGGTCGGATTAGAAACGTGAAATTTCGCGATACGCCTCTCGTCGCGCCGCCATTGTTGACGGCGACTCGTCAAAGTGACGGGGATTCAGCCGGTGATTAACGAGACGATCGCGCGTCAAAAAGTTGCCTGTTCGCGCGCTCCGCGCCTCGATGGAAAAGGCGGCTTCGCGTACGGCACTGAGCACGAGGTTTGCCGAGAATCAACGAGAAGCTACCCCCTGTATTCTCCCCCCTCCCGCCTACCCACCCTATCTTTCTCGCTCTCCTCTCTGTATGTACGCGTGTTCTGTAACCCTCTGTCCTCCCTATCGGCGCTCTCTCTCTCTCTCTCTCTCTCTTTCTCCACAAGGTATCCCAGTCGATACTGACACTGGCGGTGCGAGGTCGACTCGTCAGAGGGTGCTGAACGGGGTGCAGAAATGGAAACGAGATGCGGGAGTTGCTGCGCGGAAAAAAGAGAAAGCGCCCTACGCGCGCTCCCGCCGATCTTAGCCCTCCGCCCCCGTGAGTATCTCGCTCATTCTCTCTCTCTCTCTCTCTCTCTCTTTCTTTCTCTCTTTCCCCGTCCCTCTCCGGCGTCTGTCTCGATCCGTCTTCGAATTCGCTACTCGTCGGTCCCGCGCGGAAAAGCGACACCCCCTGACACGCGGATGTATCGAACGCAACACTTTGCGCTCTCCGTCTTACTCTTATTTCGTCGTGTTGCCCGCGACGATACATTACGCCGCTCATATTTCCGAGGACGGCCTCCGATCGATCTAGGATTATTTACGAGCTCTCGGGGAGAGTTATTCAGCTCGCGGAAGATACGCGATACTCGGGACTACCTTCGAGATGCTCTCTTCGGGCTTCTCCCTCCTTCGTTTCGCGGGGCGGTACATCGCGCTCTGTCAGCGTGATTC